CTAATTAAAACCCTCCACATATCAAATTTTATGAAATTTGTCTTTACATTTCCAGTTTATCATATTATATCATATATTAGGTCCGCCATATTAGATCTGCCATATTGGTCCGCCCTTTTCAATTTTGAAATTTGAATAACGGTTTCGTAATCAACGACTCTGAAAATCTTGTATATCAAGATTGAAGGAATTATGAACACACCATAAAATATTTGCTAAAAAGTTTACAACAATTACGATTCTTTGTTAATTAACAAATTGTAATATCGAAAAACGTGTAGGTCTCCGTGACAGCACAATAAATGACACGTGTTTTAAAAAAAGTTTCATTGAAATCAATTGAGAAGCCGTCGAACGACTTTTGCGCACAAAAGCCACTGTGCATTCGTGTAAACATGAATATTAAGAGTTCAGAATGAAAAATTGCAAAAATAGCAGGCTCATTTTATTCGTCAATAATTTTCGAATGCGACGATAATTTTCAATTTTTGATATCAAAAGTTGTGTAAAGTTGCGGACATTCCAAAATATGATAATAGGCTTTGAACATCGAAAAGTTTTACTGAAAGATAGCCGTGTCCCAATTCATGTTTATTTTTGTCGGAATTTCAATATCTTTCATTATATCTACGACTATTGGTAACGATAAAACTATATTCCAAATTTAGATTAGCAACATTCGGTGAAATACATAATATTTATGACATCAAAAATCATCGCATTCTTTACGCAATTTGTTTTCATTCAACTACTTATTGTAAGAACATTTGAACCTTAATAACCATAATAATTTGTTTATATCTACTATGACGTATTAATGTGGGAAAAATTATGATTCCAAATCAAAATTATGAAGTTGGTTTATGGCCACTTTTTCTGTCTTTTTGCCTACTTATGCACCTCGAAGCTTGTCGGGTGTCATGAGGAAGTGCTCCGTCTTGCTGGAACCAAAGTGATCTCTCCACGGGAGGCATGTTTTCCAGCAATTCAGGCAGCACTTCTTCCAGAAATGTCATGTATTATTGGCCCTGCAAGTAGAGGAACAGCAATAATTTTGACATTTGTTGCATGTTTACGCGTGTACACTTATGTACATTCGAAGAATTACATTTAGAGAATCGTTGAGCTGGTATGTGATGATTCTACCACCAAAAATTACCGCCCACACATTCACTTTCCAGCGACGCTGAAAACTTCTTGACTTCATTATGAAAGGATTTTCCTCAGCATAATAATGCATATTGTGCTAATTAAACATCCCTTCTCTTGTGAACAAACTTTTGTCTGTTCACATGATTTTGATCAAAAAGGTTTCGTCCTGGTAATATCGAGCCAAGAACTCACAACAAAATTGCATATGCAATAGTGCGTCTCCTTGATTTTGGACTCGAGTATAATGATATGGGACGGCATTTTGGCGGAGGATTCGATTCACCATTGCCCTCGTGATTCCGATAGCTCTCTCAAGCCTCCGGACACTAGTCGTCGGTGTTTCTCGTACATTCTCAAGAATCATCTTCTTGATGCCCGGGTTGAAAACATGCGACCTTCCTCCGTTATTTCGAGGAATTAGTTGACCCTCCGTCCTGAGCCGCTGATGGACACGCCAGAAGACGAGTAGGTACAGATGGCGCCGATTCGGGAAACGTTCCGTATACAATGCAGCTGCCTGCGTAGCGTTGCACTGACATTCACCATACACGAAGTGCAAGTCCGCGTACTCTACCATCGTATAAAACATTTCGAACTCAATCGTTTGAAAGATGATAAACGAATGAATTCGCTCGAATATTAAAAAGTCGGGAAATATCTCACTTCTTTTTTTGTCTTCACAGTTCGTTGTTTACGTTTTGAATCTCGTTGCGTTATAGAGTATCTCGTGCAAGAAATACAACTCCGTCAACCGTTTCTCAATCCGCGAAACATCGAAGATGAAAACATAAACATGGGAAAAGCAAAATAAAAGATAAAACGAAACTTTATTATGATGAATTGACATGTTATAAAAGAATACACGGAATACACATTACGTAGTTTCCGCGAACAACGTTTGAACAGGCGGTCTAAAAAATTGGTTTTTTTCAAGACCAATGGAAAACCATTGGTCTTTGTTATTTAAAATAACATTTACTAAAATTTCTATTTTTAAACTTGTTTTCAATCGATTTTTTATACTTTTATTGATTAAAAATAATGATAAATCAATTATCAAATGGATGATAAATGAGCTATTTGATATCATCAGATAAAGACAAATTTCGGCGCTAGTCCCGTGCCAGTGTGCGGCACTGCGTGACAGTTGTGCGCGCCACGCCATTGACCGACTTTCCTCGTTAATAATCGTTTGTCATTAATGATTGAAGGAAAAAATGGAAGAAGAACTTTCGATCCAGAATTTCACCCTCTTTCACACTCTCAAAGGATAATCGTGCGTTTTGAGTGTCCCATTATAAACAGTCAGTCCGAATATCTCGAAAACGGAGTTCGATAGACAAAAATGTTTCAGACAAAAGTTGTATGGTTTCAAGGGGGACATAAAATAACTATGTCGGTTTGTTTATACGAGGGCAGTTTGAAAACTTCTCAGCTTGACATATAGATGGCATTAGAAACTGTCAAACTATAATTGTATTGGAAAGTGGCATCCTTGATATAAACCCATGTGAAATTTTATTTCGACCTGTCAAGTCATTCGAGTAGTAGCACCAGTTTAATATTGACATGTCATTGTCTTTTTTAAAATGGAAAAGATTGAATATTGTGCAGTGATTAAATTTTTTGTTTTGGATGGTTTAACACCAACAGAAATTCATCCGAAATTGTTAAAAGTATATAAGGATGCATAACCTTCACTTTCCACTATGAAAAAATGGGCTACTCTTTTAAATCTGGTCGTACAAGCCTCGACGATGATCCACGCGAAGATCATCAAAAAACTGCTACAACACCACAAAACATTCAACAAGTCCATTATATGATGTTAGATGATCGACGAGTGAAAATGCGTGAAATAGCTGAGGCCATAGGCATCTCAAAAGAACGAATTGGAAATATTTTGCATGAAGAATTACATATGAAAAAGCTTTGTGCAAGATAGGTGCCGCATTTGCTAACAATTGACCAAAAACGCATTTGAATGCATATTTCTTAAGCGTGTTTGGATCGTTTTAAGCAAAATAAAATAGATTTCAAGCGTCGTTTCATAACTGTTGATGAAACTTGGATCCACCACTATACACCAGAGCGAAAAGAACAGTCGAAACAATGGATTGAAGCCGGTGGAAGTGCACCAAAGAAAACAAAGACGGTTCCATCAGCAGGAAAGGTTATAACAACAGTTTTTTGGGATTACAAAGGTATTTTGTTGATCGATTATCTTCAGAAAGATAAAACAATTAACTCTGAATATTATTGTAACCTTTTGGATCTATTGGATGCAAAAATTCGTGAGAAAAGATCTGCTTTAAAGAAGAAAAGAATCGTTTTCCATCAAGACAATTCACGTGTTCACACAAGTGTTTTGACAATGGCAAAATTCAACGAATTAAACTACGAATTGCTTGAACATCCAGCGTATTCACCAGATTTGGCTCCCTCTGACTATTATCTGTTTCCAAACCTGAAAAAATTCCTGGCTGGAAAGCGTTTTATATCAAATGAAGATATTGCAGCCGTGGATGGATATTTTGCAGACCTTCCGGAATCACACTTTAATAATGGTATTAATTATTGGAAAAACGTTGGAATAAATGTATTGAAGTTTCAGGAGATTATATTGAAAAATAAAATATATTTTACGGCAAAATAAATTTTCTTTCATTGTTAGGCCGAGAAATTTTCAGACTGTCTACGTAGATCGCATCACTCTTGAGATATTCACTGGTCATTACTTTTCTTAAATGGAAACCCAAATTTTTTATTATATTATCTTTTTCTACTAATTAATTTTAACAACTTTTGTCCGAAATATTTTTTTATTTACCTAATATTTTTTTAAGGTATTTAAGGAAAACTTGGTAACTTTTTCTTATTCTATATTTCTTATATTTAACTTACGATATTTCGCTAATAACTTGTCGGAAGAAAAAATAGTACTAGACTCTATTCTATTTGATCTCAAGAATATATTGTTACAATAGTGCTCTAACTTTTGTTAACTTATCGACTTTTGGAAATTCCAAGATCAAATTAACAAAAGTCAGGACGCTATTATAACAATATATTCTTGAGATTAAATAAAGCAGAGAAGTCTAGTACCATTTTTTCTTCCGATAAATAGTTACCGAGATATCGTAAGTTAAATATTGAAAAAGTTACCAAGTTTTCTTTAAATATCTTAAAAAATATTAGGTAAATAAAAAAATGTCTCAGATAAAAGTTGTTCAAATTAATTGACAGAAAAAGATGATATAATAAAAAATTGGAATTTTTATATAAGAAAAGTAATGATCAGTGAATATTTCAAAAGTGGCGCCATCTGTAAACAAACTGATATAGTTATTTTATATTCTCCTTGAAACTATACAACTTTTGTCTGAAACATTTTTCCGTATCTTCCATATTTTTCGAGATATTTACTTGGGACATTTAAAACGGGATATCCTGTATACACTTCGTAAAATGACCATTCAATATATAATTTATTTATATAATATATTTTCTGTTAAAAGTTTTAATAATAATTAAATATTAAAGAGGGTCAATTAATAATAACCGAAATATATATGATACATGTGACAAAGGTTACTTTCAATAAATAATTGTTACATCTTATTATAAAAGCACTAGTGACTCTTATTTTTTATTTCAATAGATTTTTTATTAGCCAGATATAGATTAGCCAGAGATTTCTTTTTTAATATTTTAGCAAAGAATTATACAAAGTGAAGGTAATAAACATGAGACATAAGTTAGAAACATGCGCGCGCGCTCGTTCGCTCGCTCGAGTGTCGCGTATGCTAAAAATTTCGCATCGCAACATAACACATAGTTCTTTTCAGCGTTCCCGTTTGGAAAAGCACATGAATCGGGACGTAAAGTGGTGCGTAGTGATATTGGTGGCACTGTGCCTAATCGGTGCATGCGGCTGCCGATTATGGCTAGCCACGTATACGGACACCAAGGCGATACCGTTTCTGCCGGTGCTGCAGGAGCCACTCTACGAGAGCATGTTGACCTTCTGGACCTTCGTCATAATATTCCAAGTGATGATACCGCTCAGTCTGTACGTGACGATCGAGATGGCTAAGGTGGGACAGGTGTACCACATCGGCCACGACCCGGCCCTCCACGACACGGAAACTGGTCGTAAGGCCGAGTGCCGTGCGCTGAATATCACAGAGGAACTAGGCCAAGTGAGTGCGGCGATTTATATTAAATGAATTCGCGCGCGAACGCGGTTGTATTATGCACGACTGTCGTCATAGAATTTCCTGTCAATTCGAAGAGCTAGAGAAAGCGCAAAAAATTGTGTTGAAGTTCAATAAGATTTTCCTGTTTTTTTTTATATCGTCACATATACATATTTATATTTATTTACATTTTTTATTAATTATTTCATATCAATACTTAGTTTCATTTATCTCTAAAGCAATATTGCTATTTTTTATATTTTTAATAGATAGAGATAAGTAATTTGATTAGCATTAAGAAGTGGATTCATCGTTTGTTGTAATATTTAGCACTTATCTGTTTATTTCTCAGACTTAAAGTAACTTTAAAGTGACTTAAGGTAGATCTTCCCGTAAATATCTATGAAATTACGTATTGACTGAATATTGCTCGGTACATTATACCGTTTGAACGACAGGTACAGTACGTCTTTTCCGACAAGACCGGCACTCTTACGGAAAACAAAATGCTATTTAGGAGATGCGCAGTGGGCGGCCAGGATTATTCACACATGGGCGACAACGAGAATCTGCTTCCGTGCGCGCGGCTTAAGGAGGACCTGCTCATAGGTACATTTCGACATCGCTTACAGGAATTTCTTATTGTCTTAGCCACGTGTAACACGGTTGTTGTAAATTCTCAACCGCATCACGATATTATGAACTCTAGCGGTGTCATCGAGGAACCTCAGAAAAACGGCATTGGCCCGACGAGGTTGGTACACACTAAATTAGCGAAAGAAATAAAGCAAGCACAATAGGGATGTTAACACTTTGATGGCCGCTGTCATGTATACGTGATTTCGCGAACCCATTGGTTACCAGTCGCTATCACATATAAATGATTTCGCGAGTCCATCGGTTATCAGCTGCTATTCACACTCACGTGATTAAAAAAATTTTTTTAAATTAAATTTAAATTATAAAAATACATTCAGCGCAGTTTTTTCATAAAATACTAAGAAAAATTAAGCAAAAAGTGCCGGCGTTAGGGGGGTAGATTTACGCGAGATATATCGGTGTCAAGTGATAGTCAACGAGCAAAATGTACAGCCATCAAAGTGTTAAAAAAGCTTAAATCAATTTTTTTCATTGCGCCTTAGAAAAGTAAGATCATTTTTTCGTCAATGAAAAAATCGTATCTGTTATTGCGGCACACTCTTGTGAAATTTACATTCTGTACTTCACTCTTAATAATTATTAACGCCATTTTACTTGATAGAACGACGGAATTAAGTACAAATTCATTTCCGACCGCTGCTTCACCGCCAATACCGATGTCTCCGAAGAATGGAACCATTCGCACATTATCTCCAGTATCGCCGGTGATCAGTACGGCGAACACGTTTGACGACACGTCCAAATTCCCGTTTAAACTCAGCAGGTTGGTGCACACGACGTCTGATAAATGTAATTCGCGAACTATGCAGAAAATGAAAACGATTACGCACTATATTTATCTCCACAGGCCAAAGTTGTTGAATGTAACTTCGATACCGAGTTTAGGCATCGGGCTGTTGGGAGGGCGCAAGCAATCGCCGGATGGCTCGAAGAGACGTAGCCCGCTGAACCCAGTAGACATGAGAAATGGCGATGGTGAGCTGCTGCCGAGCCCGGCGATCTACGAGGCGGAGAGTCCGGACGAGCTAGCACTCGTGCACGCGGCGCGCGCTTACGATGTCAAGCTGGTGAAACGTACGCCCCGCAGCGCGATCGTGTCCTTCCCGGACAAGTCCACATTAGCCTTTGAGATACTGCACGTAGGTGGTATTCACGATGAGTCATTCATCAACAACGCGAACGACACAAATTTCGCGTACATATTTTTTGCCCCAAGGCATGAATTGTTGATGGTTTCACAGGTATTGCCATTTGACTCGAACAGGAAACGTATGTCGGTGCTGTTGAGGCATCCGCACACTCGTGAGATTGTGCTATACATCAAAGGTGCCGACACGACAATGTTGCCGTTGCTGTCAGCGAGTGACGAGAACACCGTCGCCGCGACCAACATCCGTCAGTATCTACAATCATATGCCCGTCAAGGATTGCGCACCTTGGTGATGGCACGAAGAACGCTGAGCGAGCAAGAATACGAGACGTGGCGGCA